TTAGCCAGTGGTTACCACTAAACTCATCCCAGCACACTTTTTGTTTTGTTGGAGATATGGTTTCTCTGTGTAGCCCTGGCTGTCCTGGAACCACTTTTTTTTTTTTCCCCTCAAGAAAAATCTTTGGAATGGCTTCTTTCTAGGCAGCTAAATTATATCCCCCTCACATTGGACATTTGCCAAGCTCCTGATACTATCAAGCAGTCCCCCGCTGTGAGCTGCAGTCCCCAGTTTCACCTTCTGACTGTCCTTGTTCCCAACCAGCTGCTTCCTGTTCTAAGGTCTCTTCATTAGGGTCAGAAGGACAAAGAGAAGGAAGGCCCCAAATAGATACCTCAATCTTCATACTTATTGTCCCGTGGTGGTGCCATTGGTTTCCGATTGTGAGCCCATTCCCCACAGAGAGCATTGGCTAGGGATGACCCCCGCAGTAAAGCTCCCCTCGGTGGGTACGGGGACTTGCTTCCATGTTCTCTCGCTCTGGGAACGCCAGGGGAATTAATTTCCTGTATACCTCAGCCCTTGACCTGGCCATCAGCTCCCACCTGGCCGGCTCTCTCCTGGGAAGAGGGGAGGCCCTGGCCACCGGTCCTTTCTCTCTGCAGTCTGTCTGTCCCCATCAGACCGGGAGATGCCGTTTACCTCCCTTGGGAGGATTTATGATGGTACACTTCGGGGTAGATGGGGACCTGTCTGGGGAGTTATGCTGTGCCGCACATGGGACAGTTACAGACTCGCAGCGACAGAGCTGTGTGTCTCCCAGTGCGGTTTCTGGGAATGGGTGTAAAAGAACTCCCCGGAGGCCAAGGGCAGGTCTCGGGTGCTTAGACCCCGGTGTTCACAAGCACACACTCATCTTACTGCGTCGCCGTCTTTTCCTCTAATTTCGTTGTGGCAAGAAGAGAGACTTAGCTTTGGGCTGACAAGATTCCAGGGAGCTGATCATGGATGTTCCAGTGTACCTCTCTCTGGACGCTGCTGTGGCTTGGCCTAATAATGGTTAAGTGTCAGGCTGGTGATCAGGTGTTCTTCACAGGGGGAACTTACTTTTGTAGATGAGCCTTGATTTATAATGAGGTGACACCTTGATAAACACATTGTAAGATGAACACATCTTAAATTGAAAACAGATTGAATACGCCTAAGCTACTGCACATTGTTGCTTAGCAACACACTGCGCAGCAGAGTACCATTTTTTTTTCCCTCTTGGTGATTACGTGGCTGACTGAGAGCTGTGACTTGATGCTCTGCCCGATGTCTGAAGTGTTTGTTATATCGCTAATCCAGGAAAAGATGAAAATTTAAAATATGAAGCAGTTTCTGATGAATACATATTGCTTTTTCTTCCAACCTAAAAGCCCGATTCTGAAGCTTATCACCTACATCTGTGTGTGTCTGTATTACCAGACAGTCCGTGGTCCTTGTCTGGTTTTTATTCAGTTTATTTCTGGGGAGATACTGTCTAGGGGAGCCCTAGTAGTGAGAGAGCGAGGTCCAAGTGAGGGTCAGGTGAGAACGGAGGCGGCAGGGGCGGCGGGAGAACAAAGCCCAGGGGCCAACACAATCACTGCGATAATTAAAATCCCAGAGAACAGGGGGCCTCCAGAGCCGGTGGGAAAGAAAAGCTGCCCAGAGCAGAGCCAGAGCAGAGGATCAGACAGTGAGGGGGGAGCCAGAAGGAGAAGAGGAGGACAGGGTCGGGGATGCTAGGGTGCTACCCCGGCAGGATTCCCGTGGGGAGTCCTAGTTGGGGGCTTAGATCAGGCAGCCTGAGTTCCACTGAGGCTCTGTGACATCCGTGGCCAGAGTGGGGTGTCTGAACTCTCTCTAAGGGACTTGGGGGTCAGTTGGGTAAATCAAGTAGATTGTCTCCAGCTGTGCCCTGGGGAGGTGGCACCAGGAGGAGGTTGTGTAAGGCAGGACTGTACCTGTCAACCTTGAGGGGCTGTGATAACTGGCAACTGTGTAGAGGTCCAGCTGAGACTGAGAGTGGATGCTGAGGCAGGGTGACAGTCCGTACAGCTTTGCTGTATGGGATGGAAAATCCACCACCAGCTCTGCTCACCCAGCACAGGCAATGGATGGTAAGCAGATACAAGACACTGCCTTCCATCAGTTAACACCGTTACTTTCTGTTTTTTTTTTTTTTTTCTGATTGTTCAAAAACAGCAAATGATTTCGTTTTAAAGAAACAATAAAAAACCCCCCACAGTCTTGAAAAATGGAGTGAATTAAGACCTTTTCCACCTACAAAATACTTTCAAGGCATTTATTCAACAGTTGGTAGAAATATCCATTTAGAGGCCAGGGAGATACAAGTCAGCGGTAGAATTCTTAGCTGGCGTATGCAGAAGAGCCAGGGTCCAATTCCCGGCACTGAAGAAAAGACCGTCGAGATTGTACAGGCGTGAGGGAGCTCTGTGGGAAGACAGGATGCACGGCATCACTTGGCCTTTGCCTCCGCAGCTTCCCAGATACTGGCGTTTCCTATTTTAAAACTCTGTTTTCTTAGACAGGGTCTCACTGTATCCCTGTGGCTGCCTCTGCCTCCTGAGTTCTGGAACTACAAGCCTGCTTTAATGCTGCTTGGCTGACAGCTTTTTTATTCCTTTCTTCTGCAGGTAGATCTTGTTCTTGGTTGATTTAGCTTAGTTATTTTCCCTCTGTTCCTCGTCATTTCTTTCCTTGCATTTTTTTTGTTTATGAGGTTTGCCCCTTCCCATTAATTAATTAATGTATTTATTGTGTGTGTGTATTTGGAGTACCTATTTGGAATCCAAGGACAGCCCGCAGATGTCGGTTCTCTCCTTCGACGGCTTCCAAGGGTTGGCAGCAAGTGCCTTCACCTTCTGAGCCCACTTTGTCCTTTGGCGACCACACGTTTCAGTGTCACGCAGACTGTCTTAGGGTAGAGTTGGCTGCCCTTAGCTGCTCTGTCACCTAAACTCGATTTAAAGGGGATCTTGCATACTGGGTGCTTGTACGCTCTGGAGCACCGAGAGACTGTTCATGGGTTTTCTCCTGCTGCTCGAATTTGAGCCCACAGTGTGTGTGTGTGTGTGTGTGTGTGTGTGTGTGTGTGTGTGTGCCCCTCAGATGTCTTACTAGGGAGCCGCACTGGCAGTTTTTGCTTTTTCATTTTGTATTTGTTCGTTGTACAAAATTATGGATTTTGTTGTGACATTTTTATACAAGCGTATAACGGTAATTTGGTCATATTTACACCTCCTATTTCTTCCTCCCCTCCTTTCTCTTTTTCCAAACACTACTCCTTCTTTCCTGCCTTTTAGAAAGAAATATAGACCCTGTGTGTGAGCAAAAACAATCTTTGTCCTTCTGAATCTGCTGCATTTTTCTTAACATGACAATCTCTGATTCCGAGCATTTTCCTGTAGATGGCATGATTTGTTTCTTTGTGTGTGAGTAATCAGGGCTCTATCATGTTTTTATATTCCATTTTCTTTACCCGCACCGTAACTTGGCTATTGTGTATGATACTTTGATAAATGGGGGTGCGTGTGTGCCTTTATTGTACGATTTGGATTCTCTGGGTATATTCCCAGGAGGGTATACTTAGCTCTTCTCTTTAAAAATTTTTTTTTAAATACATTTGTTTGTTTATTGTGTGCGCATATGGACACGCACAGAAACACACAGGTACGTGCACACAGGAGTACAGGAGTGTGGAGATTGTGAGGGGGGGGGAGTTCCATTCTCTCCGTCCACTATGGGTTATGGGGATGGAATTCAGATCATCAGGGGTGGCAGCCAGTCGGACTTAAATCTTTAATTCAGTAATAATAGAGATTTTTTTGTTTGACTTTTTTTTTGTTTTTGTTTTTGTTTTTGAGACACGGTTTCCCTGTGCAGCTGTGGATGTTTTGGAACTCTCTCTGTAGAACAATCTGGCCTTTAACTCGGACTCCCCCTGCCTCGGCCTCCTGAGTGCTGGGCTTAAAGGAGTGTGCCATCACTTCCCCGCAAAAGTTAAGAGTTTACGGGCAAAGAGGAACTCAGGAAATCCAGATAAAAAAAGCCATTGGGAAACAAAAGCTGCCTGAGGGGAATCAAGGCATAACCCATTAGGGTAAAATGAATTTCGATACAGCGATTCCCGAGAAGGTCTCTTTTTAACCTTCTCTGTAATGCTTGAACTGAAAGGGAGGTTATATGGAGCTTTCCGTGGCCTCTGAAATGTCCAGGGGTTTGGAGAGTGGGAAATAAAGGAGCAGACACTGAAAGCCCTTTCTCACTGGTAACCCTGGAAGGGAAAGAGGGAGGCTCAACTCTCCTCCCAGATCCAGTGGGCTTCAGTCTGCAGGATTATTCCCTTTAGAGCTTAGTATTGCTGGGGGGGGGGGGGTTGGACTTTCACTTGATGAGGAGGAAGTGGGAGGTTATTAGAAGAACGGATTCAGAGTTCTTGAAAGCCAAAGACTCAGGGTCTTGTGCCAGTTTTCTTTATAGCACCGGCAATGATTTGGTGACGTGCTCAATTTTGGAGCTTGCTGCGTTTTTTTCTAATCATTTTAATTACTGTGCCTACCTTTTGTATTTATTTATTTTTCTTAAAGTACTACCAACATGGTACGGGGTAACGCCTGACATTCTGACATTTTGTTAGTTAATGTTCATGCCCACCCGAGCTTGCTTGGCTGCAGGAGCTTGCTGGTTTTTGAGACCATTCACAGTGGTTGCGAGAGAACACACACACACTCACAGGCTCGTGCTCTGGTTTGAGATTTACAGTGGTTGCCGTCAGAGCTGAAGCTGTTTGAGAAATCAGTTCTGAGCTTTCCAGCTTTTCATTAGTTGATGATGGCAGGTGATTTTCGAAGGACTGTCTTTTCTGCCCATAATTTTGACTACATATACAGTCACTTGCGTTGGACTAGTTTTTTAATTTATTTAATTTATTTATTTATTTATTTTATTTATTTATTTATTTATTTATTTATTTATTTATTTATTTATTTATTTATTTATTTTTATTTCTCTAGTCTACCACAGGAGCCAGGAAGAGTTCTTGATCCCCGAAGGTCCTCAAAAATGGTGATGCACATGGTGTGTTTGACCCAAGTGAAGATTTCAAGGTCCCTTCAGTAGCTGGATACATTTGCTATGGGTCAAAGAATTATGGAAAGCTTGTCCACGGAACAACTTCATTAAATCGTTTGGTAAATTTTCATTTGCTTTCGGGGGTTTTGGAACCCTTGGTGGTGGTCTGAAAATCCCAGCAGTGCAAAGGTTTAAGTGGGACGTAGTTGGACGCAGCAGTTGTGTGCGGATGTTTAGTGGAGAAGGATATTTGATGGACTGTGGGGTTGCTGCGGGGTTTACGGGGAGGAAAATGGTTTTTGAAGCCAGAGCTCTAAAGCGTTAATAGTTTAAACGATAACTGAAGTATTTAGCCACTTTTCCCACTTCCTCATACCAGATGAGACAAGCGGGTCGTCTTGTACAAGAGGTTTTGCTTGCCGCTCTGTCTCTCCATAGGTGGATTATGGAAGATAACTCAGGAGCCCCAGAGGGTCATTGTAACTCAATGTTTTGCCGGTGAGAAAGAAACGAATGGCGTTAAGATAGCGTGGTGAAGGTTACGGAAGCAAAGATTTGACCCAAAAGACTTTGAATTGACGTGAATTCCCAGGAGAGCAACTAGTTCTCACAGAGAACTCAGAAATTCCTTGTAGGGAATCAGGAAAAACCATCTCAGGGTTAGGGACGAACCCCACTCAGCACATGGAGCCCCAAGGAAGGACTTTGGTCGAAGTTTGGTATCCACAGTGATTGGACACCAAACAGCCTAAGGGCGATCCTCTTTCTCACAGTGGCTGCTGGTAGGACAGCTTTTCTGATGCAGATCTGTGTTGAAGCAGCTTAAAGGGCTTGGGACCTGGCCTGTGAAATGACTCAGTAATAACAGCATTTGTGGCCAAGCTTAGCAACCCGAGTTTGATCCCCAGAATTCACCGCGGAAGGAGAGAGTGGACTCTCTCTGACCCCTGTAGTGAGCCTTAACATGAGTGAGTATATGTTCGCGCGCGCCCCGCCCCCCCCCCCCACATGCACACACGCACTCAAACACATACACAAATATAAAAAAAAGTGGTGGAAACTGATTTTTGTTCAATACCTATTGATAGGAGAGGAAAGAGCTGAGTTCTGTTACGATTTGGTCATGCTAAAGGGAATGCAGAGAGAGTGACTTGGGAGAGGATGTCGGGAGTGTGAAAGGAGGGCCCTAAGGGGCTCCAGGACCGTGGGGAGTGGGGGGGTCTACAGCAGCCACCATAATCGTCTGATAGTCCCTTGCCCCTGCTCCTTGGTTTTCAGCGTTTTCTTCATAATAATCTTCTTCTTCCTTTGCTCTCATAAAACCCAAACAAGCAAACAAACAAACAAAACAAAACAAATCGATAAATTCTAAACCAACCAACCAACCCGAACGGAAAAACCTGGGAAACATAAATTTGCAACAGCCTTCAACGGCTTTATGGCATCCACGTTTGACTCTTCATAATGACAGTTTAAATGTCTTCTAGCAAGAAAAGGCGCCCATGATTTTCATGTCAAATAAATTAGCTTGTAAGCTCGGAACTTGTTTTCGGGTGCACAGATTTTGGAGGAGTATATGAAACAAATATCCTTTATGGGCTTTCTCAGGAGCACTCGCACAACCAGTTTATTTCTACATGTGTCTTAGAAGTTCTCTGCCCGAGTGTCCAAGGCAGAATTGGAGGGCTGCGGGATTATTATAAGAAACCCGGACCCATTAGAAACCCAGTGACTTAATTCCGGTGTGGTGGTGCCTGTGCTCACATTGTGTTTGTTACTTCCAATACCTCGATCGGATCGGATTCGCCTAGCAAGGAATTGTGTGATTTCTTGATTATGTGTTTTTCACAGTGGGTCTGTTTTGTTTGTCAGAGAAAAGATAAACACCTGCTTGAGACCGTTGAAAACCAGATTTACAGATGCCCAGTTTGGTGTGGAAGATTTTGTCCAGTTGCTGTAATTAATGTTTATTTGTTTTCTTCCCCTGTGTGTTCGTGCGTGTGTGTGCATGTGTATGGTACAGTGTTTGTGTGAAAGTCATAGGACAGCCTGTGGGACTTAGTTCTCTCCTGCCGTGTGGATTTCAGCGATTTAACTCAGCAAGGAAGCTTATTTACTGAGCCCAGTATTTGTTTTTTTGTTTGTTTTGTTTGTTTGTTTTATTTGTTCTGTTTTTAGTACTGGGAATTGAGACCAGTTTCTGTATAAGCTAGGCAAGACAGCTGAACTATATAGACTTTCTGTTTGATATGTGTGCAGAACTGGGACACCGAATCGCGAGACATACTTATAAAAGTTCAAGGGCAATCCGTTTTAAAAGCCTTTTTGTTATCAGAACATGTTGCAAATAGGAAGCATAAAAGTTGTCCTTGAATGGGTACATCAGGACTGCATAAGTGCTTTTCTATAGTTGCCTTGAATCATTTGGAAGCCATACACAATTTTGCAGGGAAGGAAACTGTCTTTCAGGCCATTGAGTGAGTTTAAAGACTGCTACAGACAAAACACTAAAGCCTTTTAGGAGAAATCAGACAGACCATCAGCTGCTACGTGGCTAGTGAGAGGCAAATGTGCGTATTTCTCAGGACTTAAAAAACACTTGCACCAACTCAGGGCTGCAGAGAAACAAAGGGAAGGAATGTCCCCGGAGTATGTGAAAATCGTCTGAAAATCTGATTCTGAGTGAAATGCTATGTAAATAATGCATTTTATTAGTCAGTGCCAAAATGAGGCTGACAAATTAAGATAGAAAGTTGGCATTATTAAACATAGTAATACAATTGTGACTCTTTTGTATTGTGTTACAATTCATTTTAATTTTAAGGATATTGAGCAAATGCTTCTTTTCATTTGGTTCTTGTTAAATCGTATACTGTTTGGTGCTTTTGTGTATTAGATAGGAACCAAATATGAACATACTGTTTGTAATTCAAATATATATATACACATATGTATATGTGTTATGTTTCTCGATCAAATGACTTTCACTCAGAAGAAGGGGCGGAGGAGAACAACCCCCAGCCTTCAGGTCAACATGTGGGGCCAGGAGGTCTGCCGCCTGTGAGCTGCTTGTCATCTAAGTGGACGCTCAGAGGTGGGGAGGCAACCACTTCCATCTCCACACCAATGACGTCAGTGACCTTCTGTTCTTGCAAGAACTACTTGTTTATCATTTCGAGCCTGTTTTAGTAAATGTCGCACAAGGAGGCATTGGCAGGGGTGGCTGTCCTCAGGTGTATTGGCTAGAACGAATCGGAAACTTCCCTGGTGGCAAGCGGCTTTCTCTCCTCGGCACTTTAAGGGATGTGTGGGGGGGCATCCTCGAGACATTCTTGTCTTCTCCAGGACAGCCTCCTGGCCCCAGGGTTCTCTTCCGGAACCCGTTGCAGTGGGCTTTGCCCGGCCTTCTGGTCAGTCTCCCGCGATTACACTTCCTAGTCTTTTCTGGAGATTTCGGTGGAAGTTGAGGTGCGCCCCGGCTTCACTCTCAGGGCTGCAGCTGAGATACCCAGCTGAGGCTAGGGGAGGGTCCCCTGTCATCAGTGCCCCCGCAGGTAGCGGGGGCTGGAGCTGACAAACAGCGCATCACCGTGGACTCGTGGACTCTGTCTGGCCGCAGCTCCACTGCTTGGCGCCCTCACTGTTCTAACCAATGCACCCCGTACCCTTTCTTCCCCTTTGTGGTGCCGGGCATCCAACAACCTGATCCAGGCTGGGCCTTACGTCCACTGGGCAGCCACAGCAGTGAGCCGTGTCTAAGCCTTTCATACTTTTCTTCAGAAAGTGTTCAGTAGGGCTGCAGACATGATCCAGCACGGGGTAAAGGCACTTTCTGACAAGCCCAAGGATCCGAGTTCTAGCCCCTGTTCCTCAAGGTGGAAGGAGAGAATCGAATTCCACTGACGGTTCTCTGACCCCCACATTGGGGGCATGTGCATATGCTGAACAAATAAGAGAGTAATAATAATAATAATAATAATAATAATAATAATAATAATAATAATAAAGAATGTAGCCGGGCGGTGGTGGCGCATGCCTTTAATCCCAGCACTCGGGAGGCAGAGACAGGCGGATCTCTGTGAGTTCGAGGCCAGCCTGGTCTCCAAAGCGAGTTCCAGGAAAGGCACAAAGCTACACAGAGAAACCCTGTCTTGAAAAACAAAAACAAAAACAAAGACAAAAACAAAATGTATATAGTGGGCTGACAAGATGGTTTTGTAAGTAAAGCCGCCTATAATGAAGCCTGATGACCTGAGTTTCATCCCTGGGACCCATGCAAGTGGACCAACTGCTCCGAGAGCTGTATCCTCATCTACAAACACACACTATGGTACTCGTGTGCGGTTCATGTGAGCGCGCACAGACACGCAGACACAGACACACACAGTAAATAGTTATGAAAATTATTGCTGTGAAGACAGATTTTTTTTTTTAATCCTTCTCTGCCGCGGTCCTGGGTTCAGGTCCTGAAACGAGGAACGGGGCCATTAGCACGAAGAAGTGAATCGTTGGTACTCCAGATGAGTTTCACACAAGTGCCTGGCCCGCGAAGAGCTCCAGCCGTCCTAATTTGTACATCAAAAACAAGCATGTTTTTCCATATTAACAAACAAGTTTTTCCCATCCTACAGCGTTAACCTAAGGCAAAAACAAATATGTCAAACATGTTTTTCCCCAATTTTTAAATCAAAACATCTTTAAACCAAAACAACACTTAGCATTTTGTTAGCTTGGCCAGATATTGAGCCAGGTACATCCGGTCTTTACAAAACAAAAGGGTGATTGACATAGGCACAATTTTCAAGAGCCACAATATCCTTCAAACACATTTACAGAAATAGGGATGATCCGCCTCTGATCCTGTGAGCACTGAATCAGAACAGCTTCCAGGTCACAAATGACAGCTGGCATGCCCAGACTGGAAACCTGAGAAGCATCAGCTCCCAAGGAATTTTAGGGGAAGATATTTGAGAAAAAAAAAATGGGGTTTCCAGGAACAATCACATCTATCCCATGCATGATTGACAAAAGGACACTAAAACCGCCAAGGGAATCATCAAAATCATGAGCGAAAAGACAGTACACAGATCGGTCGCATGGTCCCAGCGGTATACCGCGTGGTCCCAGCGGTATACCGTGTGTTCCTGAAGTCCAATGCCCCTTGCCAAGTGAGACTGTCCCATCTGGAGACCCATTGGACAAGCACTCCTATACCGGTCCAAAACTAAGCCACAGGGCTCCCGAATCTCTCTTTTTGTTTGTTTGTTGTTTAAAGTAATGAACTCAACACCCTTGGTGCACAGCACCCAGACCAGAACCTTCTGATGATGCCTGGAAAAAGAACAACAAGAATTAAAAATAAGCCCGCAGTGAAATCCAAGTGAATAATAAAAGAACAACAATCCTTAGCAGAAACCTAAGTCTGAACAGAAGGAAGAAGGGACGGCAACAACCTTCCCCATGAGGACATCTTTTTTTTTTTTTTTCTCTAGTAACTTTTGGTAAATCTTGTAATGATAGGAAAATGGTATAAAGAGCTGGGGGTAAAGGAACAGTTTCAATATGCGGAAACAAGCGAGATAGATGACAGCAATCTGTGTAAAGTTGAAAGGATTGTTCACGTAACAGTTTGAAAACTGTGAAGACTACTTTTGATTCTACCCTCGGAGCCGAGGATACCCCTGCCTGAAATGGTACTTCCACCCCCCCCCTAACCACCCCCGTTTGTATCATAGACTGCTATTTCGTTAGAGGACCCATAGGTAAACCAAGCCATGCAGGAGGAGGTAGAGGTTTGACCTTGCGAGTCAAGGGAAACGTAAAGGCAGGAGATTTAGCAAAATGTTGGGATGGAGAAGTGGGGAGCTGAGGAAGTTACAGGAGGGGGCTGAGAGGAGCTCTGAGGAAGCAGAGTGGGCAAGTGTCATGGAAACAAGAATTTCGATCCTGGACACTCTCCAGTCGGACTAAAAGACTTATCAGAAAGAAATGTCTCAAATCACGGAGGAAAGGCGTTCCTTTCCCTGT